AAGAAATTAATTTACAAGTCTGATTAAATAGATACTATGAGTGTTTTTTCAGGGTCACTGATATTTTATATCTGGTTAGACTGAGTGAACCTGGAAGCCAGCTTTTACAACACATTTCATACAAACCTGAATTTGTTTCTCTGTCTATTTTAATTCATTTGCTCACCAAATAAATTTTCAATTCCATTCATAAATAATGAAAACAATAATTTTTTTCCATCAGAAAAAACATGCCTTTGGGGACTGGGGATAAAATAAACAAGAAATACTGCAAATGGTACTGCAGTTAGAAACTTTCCGCTGTGTCATCAGAGAATTGCTGGAGCACTGTTGGCCCATATACAAGTCTCTATAAAGGAATCTGCTGTTTGTGAGGGGAGAGAGATATTAAATCATAGGAAATATAAAGAAACTTCATGCTTTTGGCTTCAAACGCTGTCATTCCTTTCCTTTTTTTTTTTTGCATCAGTATCAAATGTCAGGGTCACTGAAGAATGTTCTTTTTTTCCTTTCTGATACTTTGTCTCCATGGGTAGAGGAATGTATGCCAGGTGCGTAACTAGACAGACTTTCTTTGCCTTTCTTTACACCTAGTTCACTGTAGGAAAAGAAACCATACGGAAACTCCAGGACAACCTATATCAGCCTGTGTTCAACCCAACAGCTTTATAGGTCTAGCAGTGATATGCTTGGGCCGCAGCTGAAAAAAGTACATAATGAGGCATGCAGGTTGTACCACTGAAGCTAAGCACTAGCATTTATGGCATAACACTTTGCTTCAAGTCATGGAATCATAGAATGGTTAGAGTTGGAAAAGATCTTAGGATCATTTAGTTCCAATCCCCCTGCCATGAACTGCGGCTTCTCACATGGTAGTTCATGGTGAAGCGGCCGCTGACCTGACTCAGAGCAGGTTTTCCTAATTGTGGTTGAAGCAACAGAAAGTAATTTTGTATCCCAGTGGTTTTCAGTGTTCCCCCACCACCTTTTTTTTTTTTCTTCTTTTCATCTCGAGAGGAGGAGACAAGGCTCTTAGAAGGTAGTTTTATTATTTCATGCATGCTTTTCTGTCTCAGGTCTTTTAGGAAGAGAATTGATTGATAAACATTTAGTGTCTTTTTTTTTGTTGCCAGTTCTTGTATGATGAAATTGTCCCTTGTTTGTCTCTCAGAAAAATGTCCCTCAAAGAAAGTGAACCTGATTTCAAAAGTTTGGCAACAATCCCTCATTTGACTCTTGCACATCAAATTATTTTGCAACCATTTAGCACAAAAATGGAGTCAGAAGGAGTATGAGCATTTCCACAAATGGCATTTCATCTGGGCATGTAAAAATGTTAAGAAACAAGCTCTGGAAATGGACTGATAATGAGCAGTGACCTTTTCAAAGAGTTTTATTCCACAACTTGTATATGTTGGCGTAAATTTAGTGAGGTCAGTCAGGATTTTGTAATTTTCCTGTAACATTTTGGATGTCGCTCTGCTGAATCTAGGATGTTCCTTGTTGTCTTCTTATGCCATTGCAGGCTGTTGTTGACTTTATTGTCAATAGATCTCAGAAAAGGTGAGTATTCAGCACAACACATTAAATGAAGGACATGATCCTCATTCTACTGAAATTCCAGGGCAAACGTGGCATTGATCCTGGCATGGTGCCTACCAGGCATGAGCCGTCTGGTCCTGAGAACAGTCCATTTGGTTTCAGCTGGCGATTTTCTTACATGGAAAGAGACTTGTAAACTCTGTTCTTTGGTCTGAAAATCACTCTTTTAAAACTTTTCTTCATTTCAGTCATTCCAATATTCCTCCTGATCTATCACAGGCATTTAAAATTCTTTTGGATGCTTCAGTGTATTTTTTCCACATTCATGAATTTTATATTATTTTACATGTGCAAAACTAAGGCATTAAAATTACAGTTTTATGCCTTTCCCCAGCAGTTCTGTAAAATAAATTAAGAGAATATGATATATCTGGTGATCTTCACCTTTTTTTTTTTTTTTCCAGTGAAGTAATTATAATACTGAAATGTAAAGTTCTAATTGAGCTATTCCCATCAGCTGATTCTCAATTCCTGTTCAGTCTTACAGTATGACTGCACTATTAAATATCCTGTTTTGTTTTCTTACATATGTATGTTTTACATGTTATCTTTATCACCTCAGTAATAGAATGTAATGGCATTAAATTACATTTCAGCATATGGTACTCCTCCCTTGTGATTTTCAGCATATTCAGGTCCAACTCTGGTGAGCAGAAGCATAGTAAATTCTTTGTGGGTGTTCAAAATGCAAACTTTCTTTTTTCTGATTACATTAATCAGAATATTAAAGTCTTTCATATGTTTCTGTTCTCTGTTTGGATGAATAGAATTTAATATAAACCATATTTGGAGAGGAATAGTGTATTGTAGGAAGTGTAAAATTGCTTCCTGTGACTTCTCCCTAATAATTACTTCCAAAAATTTGTTTCAATGAACATTTCTGCTAATAAATTATCATCTAGAAGGGGAGGTAAATGCAGACATTTGTAAGTATTTTCTTAGGCTAAATGTGCAATCGGGAAACCTTCAGGACTGGCCAGGAGGAAATCTCACTTCTGTGCAAAAGGAAGCACACTTGTGGATCACAGAGTCCTCTTTTGGCCGAAACTGGAGGAGTAGTATGAGCTTTGGTGGGACACAGATTTAGTGCTGGGTCCCTGTGCTGGAGAAATAAAACTACATCTTGGTGGGAGAATAGCTATCTAGGCAAGTTTATCTGCCTGTCTATTGATGTAAGTAGCTTGAATTTTGATTTCTTGTATACCTCCTTTTCTTCAATAATCTAACATTGGTGTACAAAGATAAATTATATTAATTAGTTACTCACCGAATCTTTTCAAAGCTTATCTAGGATATATTTGCTAGAAATAGGAGCAGAGTGTTTGACTTTGTGAGAAAAGAACAGATTTCTTTCAAACAGGCAGGGGGAAATTACTTCCACGTATGCAGCAGTAACAGGTGTTGTGAACTCATCCATCATCTCACACAGCACTGAGGAGCAGAAAACAGTTTCTTCTTAGAGCACTATTAATAAAATATCAGGAATACATTACTTTGTAAGGAGCAGAGAAGAAGGAGAAAAGAAAAGGTTTTAAAGTGGATCTTAAGTGGAACTAAGTAACTTTTGAATTTTGTAGCTAGATTCTCTGTTTTCAAGATATGTACATATGTGCAGGGATGATACTGTTACCATCCCCACCCATTCCCAATCCAAAAAGCCCTCAACACCTTAGCTTGAGGCAGGATAGGAATACCAAGTCTTACTTCAGGAAACTAAATTCTGAAAGACTCTGCATACTCTGTTGAATTTCTGGCTAATTTCTACCCCTGAGGGAAGCTGCATATGTGTTGTGCTGTACACAGACTGGCTTTGCTGGAGACCATGAAGTAAGCATGAGCTGAATGTTAGCAAAGGTGAAAGACTGGCAAATGAAAGCAGTTCAGAGTGGCATTTCATGTCTAAGCAGAGGGGGTCTCTTTAATGAAACTCATTGAACCAGGAATAGAAGGATGCCTAGAGACTGATGAACTACACAACAGCAAGTAATGTATGCTTGATGGACCTCCTTCCAGCTGGAGTGAGGAGTAATTAAGGCTTCATACTAAAGCAGTGGGTCTGACCTGATGCAGAGGAGTACTTCCACTTCCTTTTAACTTCCCAATGAGCAAGTACAGAATTTGTTCTGATTTCAAAGCTGAAGGAAGGACGTTTCATTAGGAAGGACACTGGACAGGAGAGAAAAGTGGGGTAAAGGCCATTCAGAAATAAGGATTTCTGATAGTTTTATTAATAACAGTGAGAAATGTAGCACCTGGCAGGAGAGATAAGTGGATTTTCCTAAGCTTTGTTTTAAGCAAGTAAATATTGCTCTGGTTTATGGTACTAATAATTAAACAGAACATTAGTCTTTCTCTCGGCAATTTAAAATTTAAGGTGGTTGTTTTCTGGAGGCATATGCTGAAATCCAAACAACTGTAACTACTTTAGGCATAAGCTTCACAATAAAACTCCATATATATGCTGTCCAATGGATATATTTTATAAAAATATATATCACTGAAGAAACACAGTTTTATCATTGTCTTCCAAGTCATCTTGGTTTTATTTACCACTCTTGGTAAATATTGCAGTTATTAAAAAATGGAACAAGTAGACAAGATGTGAGAAATACTTCATTCCTTCAAGAGCATGCTCTCTCTAGTGCAGTTACATGAATAATAGATTAGTACTACATATTAATTATTTTTTTTATCTTTTTATACAATGTGTCCACAGTTTGTTAGACAGTATAATGATTGTATATGTTTAGACCACAGTAAAAATGCAGGTGACCCTGTTATTAGAGTGCCTATACTCTGGGGAGAACAGTAGCACCTGAGATTCTGACTAGTCCTGAATTTCAGGGGACAGCTTTAAATCAGACTGTTAATGCATCTGCAGTTGCATGCAAATCTTTACCTCCTGTTCAACCATTTCTGTATAATGCCTACACCCAGTTATTTGTCTCAGACTAGGACTTCTGGATACTTCTACTGCACCAAGAAACATGAACAGATGTTCAGGTATGTTTAACAACTGTGAACTCACATTCACATCCTAAAACTGTTACTCTCGTTTTCCTCCCACTAGACTGAAATATTTTTCAGTGATCCACATGACACTATGCAATTATGATGAAGAACTGATCATGACCTCTGGAAAATACTGTTACAAATATATACAAACAGTAATAAGTATTCAATACAGAAATAGTAGAGTGATAAAAAAAAAAAATAAAAGTTTTTTTTCAGGGCTGGGAGGTGACTAATAGGCTTTAATGGTCCTGATCAGCTTCACCTGGGTCCCTACTCTCCACCCATGGGGCCATGGGCTCATTTAAGTTGCAGCTGGAAGCACTGTCTGTTTTCTGAGTTGTGCTGCATGGAGGCTTGTTCTTGAGTTATTCTTTGGATTTCCTGACCTTGCTGATTTTATTACCTTCACTCCATGACCACTGGAGCACCAGTAAGACTTGTCTCTACTCTGCTTGATCAGTTCCTGTGTGGCAGAACTGTACTCTGTTGGTGAGTTCCCTACCAAGTTTATGTTGTTGCTGTCTTTAGCCCTCAGTGTGTCTCCTCTCAGGGGGCAGTTGGCCCTCAGCGTTCTCTTACAGCTTTTTGTAAGTATTCTCCTTATCCCTTCCTAAGAATGGGCAATAACTGCTTCTATAATGCACACAGGGACTTACTGGGGACTTTTGTGTGGTTTTGAGTTAGAATGTGTAGTCTTTGCAAATAGCAGTCTGATTGTCTTATGGTTTTCCCTATGTAGCTTGCGATTTTTCAATTCTTTAATAAAGGGGAAGCAATTTTGCTCATATAGTTCACAGTGAAGGTCAGATAAGAGCATGCTCTCTCCCTTTAGTGGTGTCTGGACAGGGCACCACTGACCTTCAGATCTTACCTGTGGAGAGCTTGCATCAGCTCCGAAGCAGGTAGTGGCTGTGTGGACACACAGCCCTTCTTGGTTGATTGCTTGTACCTTGTGAGGGGACAGAGTGTTCATTCAGGTGAAAAGTTAGGACCCCAGCATGTGTTATATGTGGTTCAAGCCTGTTTCTGAAAAAGTAACCCTTGTACTTTGTGTTACCATTGACTCACTGCCATGTTTGACACTCATGCATCAGTTGATGGGAGGTAATGACTGAACAATAACTATTGATTTTTCATTTCATATTAACAGCATGGCAGGCTCTCAATCTGATAATGAGAGTAGAATGCCAGTGTAGACATTCCTATTTGATTGTAAAAGAAGCGTCTTCTTGCCTTTCTGGATCTTTACCTTGTGTCTCCGGAAGCTGTATAGAATGCTCTCATTAAGGCAGCAGAGTTTTGAAATTTATAAAATGTACTCTTTTGTGATGATTTTGAGTTTTGGAGCAAGCACCCGTTAATTTTAGAATAAATAAATATACTGGATCAATTATTTACCCAGAGGATACTGACAATTTGCAAACAGTGAATAACAGAAGAGGGATGGCATGCGGCGGAAGTTCTTTCTGAAGCACGATCAGCATTCAGACAAATTTAGAGAGACACTGACTTCAGCTGGTGGAGGTTCCAACCAGTTCTATCCTTTTCTTTATAAAAATAAAGAAGTAGAATCCTTTTGTAACTTATCCTGATGAGAACTGTTTTGGTCAAGTCACTGACGTTGTAGTTGCATAAAATGTTGGGAAGGGACAAGAGCTGAGACCTTATTGTTTGAATTTTCAAAAGTTGGTAAAATGTTCTGTAATTTTGCATCAGACTCTAGGATTTTGGCAGGAAGACAGGCGTTTTTATATCTTGTAGTACAGCGGGTTTAAGGACTAGCAGGATGCAAATGAAGTTGTAGCTTAAAATGTTGTCACAACATGAATAAAATACACTTTGTTACTCCAAGCACATTCATTTTTATCTCTTGCTGCCTCTTCCTGTTGCTGTCTGATCTTACCCCCCCCCCCTTTGAGTTTAGACCTAATTTTTCTGTCTTTGCTTGGTCCTTCACTGTCTTTCTTCTGTTGTGGACAGCTTTCCTCTGGTTGCTGCTTCCCACATATATCTGAAATCTTACCTTGGCAGCTGCACTGCAAACCTCCTGGAATGCAGTTGTTGAGGATGTTCCCAGGTTACGCTTTGTGCTGCTTGCAGCATTAGCACTGTTCCTGTTAGTAGAAATTATTCCTTTGTATAAAAGAAGGGTACAGTAAATAATCTATATGTGCAATACTAAAATAGCAGGCAATGCTAGTCATCTAAGGTGCTACTCTTGCACTGTAGCTCTTTGGAAGAACAAGGACTGCTTTTAAGCTTTGAGCTTTTATTTATTTATTCACCTCCTTTGACAGTTTTTGCCTCAATTACAACATGGCATTTGGTTCCCCATGGTTTTGTTCTGCGGGAAAGTTGCAATATACAATGTTTCAGTTTCCAAGAACGCTGGATACTGGAGGCTGTTGAGACCTGTTCCTGATCTGGTATATGCTGAAAGCAGCTGTGCAGAAAGACCTGTCTCACAGGGGCTTTCTTTAAGCAGGACAGTTTGTGAAACTACAGCCTCAGTGGTTCTGCCACATAAAAAGGTCCTGTTAAAAACCTCCAAACTACAAAAAAAACCCATAGTAAAGCAAACCAAAAAACCTACAAACCAGAGAACCCGCGTCCAAATGCCACAGCAAATGCTAAAAAGCTTTAGTTCTGGGGCTTTATAGTAGATTCTTAAGGTATTTGAAGCTAATCCTATTGCAAAAGGTAATTTACTGAGAAAGGCCTTAGCTCAGACAGCCATGTCAACAAGTCTAACTCATACATGGGAGGTGGTAACTTCAAAATTGAATACACATCTATCATATCTGGAGGTGGCCTATTGGGCTGAGTTCTATATAATCTTTATGAGAAAGTATCATATCTTATCTGTGAAGCAGCTTCTGTGCCTTGGTTGCTATAAAAACAACTACAATCCCATTTCAATATATTACAGATTGACCAACCTGCCCCAAATTTAAGCATTCCAGAATTTCCGTGGTTATGTTTTTGATTCTGCCAAACAATTTTTGGGATCAGCTGACTAGAAAATACATGTTAAAAATGTTAAAATTAAACTTCCAAGAAACCTGTGCTTTCCACACAGGACCTCTGTGTGCATGGGAGCTCTGAGTTTCACAGATTTTACCTGTAAGCCTGTAGCTTTTTGCTTAGAGAAGATAAAAAGAACCATCTTTAAAGCAGACAGAGCAAAGTGGCTAGATAGTGAAAGAGGTGATCCTCACTTTATCTTGTTGTGATTTCACTACCCACAATGTTGAAAGCTGTCTGCAGTGTATGGTAGTTTGTACTTCTCCTTAAGCCTCAATTGCTTTTATACCATTGTTTTGAGAAGTCGTTTAGAGAATTTTGAAGCTCTGTGATATGATTCAGTCCTAGAGTCACTTCAGAGCACAAAGGCTCTATTGTCTTACCCTGTTACAGAACTGTTGTTAAGGAGAGTTTGCTACTTGTAGTTTTCTCAGTAGTTTATCATGTTTCAAGCATGCCACACGAGAGGAGAATCCTTAATAAAGTACATAACTTGGAGATGAAGCCCAGTTGGTACTAGGTGTGTGAACATGCCTTTAGATAGGGCATTACTAATCCAGTCCAAATTTCTTCACACCATGTGTCATATTTCCAGGACCATCCACGTGCTTCATAAGGGGGCACACAGATTCGCTAGTAAGGAACTATATTTCATTAGATATATCAATGTTTTTATTATGGCCTAATGATTTTTGCAGCAATTTGCACTAGTTTTACAGAGGTGCAATGTTAAATTAGGGCTACATTATTGGCAGATGTGTTTCTATTGATGTTTTAGTAGAAACCAGGTAAATTATTGTTATCCTGGTTAACTCAGTTTAAGTACATCTGAATGCAGAGATGGACTGATTTATCAAGGTTTACCAAGTACTTCAATAACGTAAATAACTTTAGTTGTATCCATTCTAAAACTGTTTAAACAGGACAGTCGTAATAATGGGGAAATTCACTAAAGTATAACATCTTCAGAATCAGAACAATATTTTAGAAAGGCCAATAGAATTGGCTTGGCTGACTTACGATTTCTGCTGGATTTGTATTTTGTTATTTCCTTATTTTAAATGGGATGAAGTGTTAGCAGCTGAAATCCAGCAGCTACAGTCTTAGGGTGAAATGGAGGTGGCTGGGAGAAGACTAACCCTTTTCTTCTTCCTTTAGAAATCTCAACATCAGCAGGGCACAACTCCACCTTATGCTTTCTGAATGATTGGGCAGAGATCCTTCCAGTATGTAAGGAAGCAGCCTTACTCCCATGTCACATGTGGTTTTCAAACAATTACATCATGTTCCATGGACTCTTACTTTCTTATTCATAATTTTCTGTGGACAGGTTGTGTTGTTTTTTTATTATTATTTATGTTATTTTATTTCTCCTTTTTATGTATCAAATGAACTAAATCTTTATTGATGTTCAGGAAAAACAATAGTGTGAGACAAAGCTGTTTTAATTTATATAAGCAGTTTCTATACAAAAAGGGATTTAGCTCTGTTAATAGGGGAGAACTATTCTGTAGTAGTTTCTTGTACATCTGTGATAAAGTGAAGCACATCTCATCCTAGTAAAGGAAATGCAATATATGAAGTTATTAGAGATGACCTGAAATACAGAATAAAAAAAATGTCCAGTTGCATGCATAAAACCCCCATTATCATGCTGGTATTTGTGCTGAAGCAAACTATTTCATAATTTGAACTCTTATGTGGGGCTGCTCTACAGGATGAGTGTAATGAGAAAGCATAGTAGTCTGTTGATCTGTCTTTATTATGTAGTATAGACAACATGCACTGGAATTAGTTTCAAAAATGTTAAAAGTGCATTTTTAGTTGTGTGACATGATTTGTTCTGAAAAAACCCCAGATGAGACCTGCATAACAGCGTATAACATGTATGAGGTGGTTAGAATGCTTTTGGTGAGCTTTAAGCAATGTTTAAAATCACAATTCCACAGGGTGTTTTTATCTCATGAAATATTAGTAACGTTACACCTGAGATCTATTGTATTTCAGTGTCATATTATTGTTAAATGTTCCTTCTGTCTGCAGCACTGTGCAATATCTGTTAATCACTCTTAAGGCTGTGTGATTCAAAAGAGTTTTGTTAAAGTCAGTATTAAGCTAAGGTGATTCACATTTGCTGAAGAACTAGTCCAAGGTTCATAAAGCCCATTGAAATAAGAGATAACAGGTGCCACAGAAATGCAAAATATTATATCAGTGACATAACTGGAAGGAAACTGTTGTAAGTTTTTTCTGATGAAAAGACACAAAAGTGTGAAAGAAATTCTTAGCCACATTATAACTTTAATCTATAATGGCTTCTGTTTTTCTAGTATTGATTATGTATTTTGTTATGCATAGTAAAATGCCTTGCTGAATTCAACTGTATTTCTCCACCCCAGATTGACA